CAAAAGAGATGAAGGAATTCATAGAATAGATAAAAGAGTTTAAGGTTTAAGAAAACTTCAATCACAAGGAAGAACAAATCGAAAGCCCAAAGCAAAAACTCTCAAAAGCAAAGTCTCAAATCTCTCTTTCTCTCACGAAAATCTCTCTAGTTTTCTTTCGATCTAGGGTGTATTTTCGTGGCTGTCTCTTCTTCTAAAAATGTCTCTGTTGCTGTCACGAAAAATCCCCTTCTTTATACTCTTTGGCGGCTGGAATAGATTAGGGTAAATCTAGGTGGCGAAAATTAGGTTTAATGAAGATTTCCAAAAGTGAATCTTTTGGAGAGCAGGTCGGGCTGATCGGGGAGCAGGTGCTCCCTATCTCCAGAATCTCCAAAAAGTCTTGTTTTCCTTCCTTTTTCGCCAAGCCTTCTTGTAAGTTCCAATCCTTCCTTCCAGCCACTTTTGCACCTAGAAAGACTCGATAAAGAATAAAAGACTCGATAAAAACCTACAAAACAAGGGTTAGAATGCGCCAAAAACGCGTTATATCAAGAGCCGACTCTACACGAAACTGGTGAAGCATGTGTTTGGTGGCCATTCATTTGAGTTTATTAATGTTTAATAAAACTGGTGAAGCATTTATTAATGTTTAATAAACTGATGAAGAGTTTATTAATGTTTAGGGGCCATTCATTTGATGAAATAGTTATTAGCTCTGTTGGTTAAGTGTCTCCATAAAGAACTTCGCATGGCTTCGAATCTTGCAGGAGATTTTTTTTTTTTTTTAGTGGCTAATGGGCCCAAATTTTTTTTTTTGCTTGGGGTCTTTCAGATATCAGGCCGGCTCTACTCGCAATTCTCTTCATCCTCTAGTAGTTGCCCAAATGGTTGTTGTTTAGAGGTTTTTTTTTAGTGAGTCCAACAACTAGGGTGCAAATCTCCTACGCAGTCAACAAACACGTGAAGACAAAAAAAATGATAATGGGGTGTTACCGAGACCACAGAGAATAGCTTAGACAGTAAAAAGAAGTCGGAAAACAAAGAAAGGGAAATACATGACATCGGACTGAACACGGGATGATCCTTGATGTATCAGGGTGTTTGAGAAAGAAATTTGGTTGGTGAGACAGAAAAATATAGTATTTTGGTGTGGAAATAGTTAAGTTGGACTATGAGAAGTCGGAATTAAAGAGATTGAATTTCTAGATAATTAAAAAAAAAACTTTAAGTGTCTAGGGATAGTAAAATATAAGTTGCTAAAGCGGGAAGTAAAATTTGGTCCCTTCTTTTGTAAAAGGGCATAATATTTAGTGACAATTATCCAAAATAATTCAAAACTATGAAAAAATAACTAGATTAACCCACCCAAAAAAGTATTATTAGTATAATTTAGATTTTGAGTAAAAAGACAATTAACATTATAAACTTCATTTTATTATCGAAAATGCCATTTTTATTTATTT